TCTCATTCCAATCATGTATTCTCTCCATTGCAGACACATGGAAGAAAACTAGGAGAGTGATTCGATTTGGCCTTTTCTTGTGTTTTTGCATTAGCAAGTGTTCGAGAATGTTGTCGGTAGGTTGTATGACAAAGTCACCGAACTCTTGGAAGTCGCGTAAGGTGAATGTGTGGTCGAAGATTTTACTATCCAGAGAGTCATCTTGTTGGGGGAGAATAGCTCTGCGGGCAACGATGATGTTGTCCTCTTTCTCCCATTTGAAGTCATGCTCGCCTGGTGGACGGCTCTCGCCAGTTGTATTGAAACGATGCAGCAGCAAAATCTCGATGGCGAAATCGATGGAATTGTATACAATATCTATCTTACAATGGATGTTAGTACTATACATTCCGGAGAGGGAGAAGTTGGATTTATTCATCATAACTCCGACTCGAATTGAGGAGAAATAGGTAGCAGGACATACAAGCGTAGTTGGCAGCCTGTTAATATCAGATCGTGGGAGCCATTGTCTACTAGTACATAGATTAACGGCCAGCCTTCCGATCTCTGCCCGGGGTTCTGTCCCGTTCTGTTTAACTACTTCGACGAGTTCTAGTAGCTGGCGGAAGGTGCGGATGATGTGTTGATTCTCGGAGAATACTTCGAGTTTTCTCTCCAAAGCTAAGATGTAACTATCCAGCTGGGAATCCGGTCTAATTCACAAAGTCAAGTCAGATATTATCATTTGAGACCGCCGTTGTATTGGGTGTTCAACCCTTGAAACTCCGAGTAATTGACTTGCCATATCCCGTTTGCAAGGTCCTTAGCCAGGTCGTCTGAGATATGGGCTCTGTAGAGCCTGCAGTCAATGCGGTCATCTCGAGCATTGCGAGTCATTGGAAAGAGCAAACAGGTATTAGGCAAACCTGGGGCGTGAATACTCTGGTGTGTGACGAAGGCGGCTCCAGGTGCACAAAGTTTGCCATGGATGACTATCTATAATATTCGACCTGACCGATCAACGTTTGCGTATTTCGACAAACGAGCTAAAGGCGTATAGCGATGTGCTATACCAATGGATTTGGTCCAATGCATCATGCACAAGGCCGCATAAATATTGGATATGAGCGCTCGCATTCTGAGACTTCAGCGATAATGCGGAATGGCTAGCCAATCTTCAGTCGAGTCCATTGATAAACATGCATGTGTGTTGATAGCCTGCCTATTTCATCTTGAGGCGAACTGCAAGTTCAAAATCAATTGGTCATACCATGTGCACATGTCACCAAACTCGACAGGAAATGTAAGTTGGAATGCGGCTGGATGGATATTTTCTTTCGCGAGTGACAACTGGGCGCGGTTGGTGTGGCCTGGTGATGCCTTGCATTGGTCGCCTGCTCCCTCACCGGACGAGAGTGGTGTGGGGGGGCTGTGCATTGCGGCGTCGGATCAGCAAGGCATTCTCGAGGCATCGACAAGCAGTAGCGCCACGAGGGAGAGGAGTTCCGACGTTACACAACATTACCACGTCGTTTGCCTCGCCAGCGGAGATTCTCCGCAAGACATCGCCCACGACTATATATACGGGATGAACATATTGTCCTGCATCGCTAGATCGGAGACCAAATTCTACATCAGCAACTTTCTGCCATCTACTAGAATTAAGAACTTGCCTCGTAATGGGCTCTAGTGCCATATTGCCACGTTCGAAACAGGATGTCGGATCGTCCACAGATCGGCGGGGAATCAATGCCCAAGGCCAATTCTCCAATCATCAACAAAGCTTTTCCGTCTTTACCAGGCGAAAATTTATGAGTCTATTTTGTTCCAGATCCAACGATGTCGATACAGAGGCCTCCGAAATACTCTCTAGCACTTGGTATACACCACACGATATCAAAGGTGGATATCAACACAATCAACCTCTCACCACCGTGAACGGCGAGAAATTGTGGCAACTAGACCCAAATTCGGATGTGAAGAAGTCGTGGAATCAATTAGAAAAGACAATAGATGCCTTCATCGCAGTTACCCCCGTCGACGAATATCAGTTTACTCCAAGAATCGTTGTCGAAGCATGTGAAATGGGACGAGACCGGAGCAAAACGCAACCAACAGTCCTCATTAGCTGCTCGTCAAAGCCTTATGGGAAAAAGATGGCCAGAACATTGCAACAAAGTGGAGCCCTGGAGACTCACTCAGCAACATTCCGTGTGGTCGTTCGGCCTTGAGAAGGTCGTGTATCAAGGATGGCTAGATTACAGGGAAATGTCGGGATATGGGATGTGAAAATAAACATATGGTTGGGTCTGTACGTCTTTGTGTACTAATAGATAGGTTTCAGTACGAACTAAGGTGTTGGCTGGGGAAGAAGGATAAACGGGAGCGGGACTATCTAGCATGTTCGAGGGCTCAATTTTTACCTGGCGTTTGGGGCACAGCCTTCAATTAGTTTCAACCCCTCACTTATCGATGAATCAAAGCCGCAGCCATTTTCCATCAATTGAGCGAAAAGGGGTCATTTAATGAGGAAACTAATAACCGAACGCTACCCAATGCAGATTCCTTGCCTTCACAATGAAGACTTATGAATTCCATGGGGGTAAGATGCAGAAACTTCGATTCTTACTGCTACGAAGTAGAGAGGTCGGCCCCAGCTCAGAAAAAGCTGTAACTCGTGTAAGGAAGTGAAAGGGTTACTTTCAAAATCTTTTCTATGCTAACCCATCTATAGGGTTGTCAAAATCTTCTACCACTGATTGACCATGGCAAGCCTCTGGGTAAAGTAGTTGCTAAACGAAGCACGTCATTCTCTCACAAACAAGGTTTCTAGACCGAACTTCTGGTCTGTGTGCCGCCGTGTGAAACCCCGCGGGGCTGCACTAACTCCATGTGCAGTCGGTACCGATGCGGCATTTCCTTTATCTCCCCGTTTCCACCCCGATTTATTAAGCTCAGTCGCATCCATTAACACCCATATTCGTTCACAGAAGACTCAAGTGTTACCCTCATAAATAAAATGGCGGAAAAATCATCAAGCAATCAAGAATACCTGGCCCAACCCCCGGCACCGTGTTGTTGGGCAGGCACCCTCCACGAAGGCAACCCTCGCGGCGATGTGGAAGACATCTTGGAGGTGCCCACTTACGTCGTCCGCCCGTCAGACGTGAAGCGCGCCCTCCCGCCCAACGGACATGTCATCCTCTACTTCCCGGACGTGTGGGGCCTTTCCGTCAACGCCAAGTGCACCATGGACGGCTTCGCGTCCTCGGGATACACGGCGCTTGGCATGGACTTCTTCCGCGGCGACCCCATCTCCAAGTACCGCAACGCCAAAACCGACCCGCTGCCAGAGGGGTTTGACATGGCGGCCTGGCGCTCCAAGCACTGGAACTTCGCCACGGAAAATGTTCCCAAGTGGACAGCGGCCGTCAAGGAGAGATTTGGTGCCGAACTAAAGGCTGAGACGGGCAAGGAGACCAAGTTTGCTTGCGTTGGATATTGCTTTGGTGCACCTTTTGTGTGCAATCTGCTCGCCGGAGCTGGTGGCGATGGGGAGCCGGTGGTTTCCGCTGGTGCATTTGCGCACCCGACGGCGTTGAAGGAGGAACATTTCACCAGCATCAAAAGTAAGTTTGGCCCTCAAAAAGTCGAGGACTTTCTGGCCTTCATTATCGTCCACGAGGCAGCCAACTTGGCATGTACGAGCACGACTGTCTCGTAGTTGCCATGGCTCAACGCATTATTGTTACATCGTTACAGGATTGAAACGGCTGACCCAATCTACGACAGAGCCTCTTCTACTTTCATGCGCCGAAAATGACCAAGCATTCCCGACTGAGGCAAGAAGGAAAGCAATTGATTACCTTCAAAGAGAGAAGAAGATTTATCACCTTCAGGTTTTTCAAGGCGTCTCACACGGTTTCGCTGTGAAAGGAGACCCAACAGACCCATACCAGCGTGAGTCTTAGCAGCTAGAATACATTTACGTCATCCCTGATGATCTTAGCTAACTAAAAATAGGTTGGTGCAAGGAACAGAGTCTTCGTGTCATGGTTGACTGGTTCGATATGTGGCTGGTTCAAAGTGATTGAGAAGTTGATTGAATGGGAAAATGGCGAGCTCGTCGACCGTTGCAAAGGTGTCACTGTGCCAGGCTGGGCCAATGTTAACTGACCCCCACGAATGAAATTATTTATCAAGACAACTTATCCTGTATTTCCAAGTCGTATCATTAAAGTTTGAACTTGTTTTAAGCTTGATATCGCAGGTGGGAAAACTCAACAGGCTTGTGTTAATTGGGACATGGGTTAGTCGCAATACTTGGCGTTGAAGTGAACTGCTGACTTTGGTCTAGTGAGCTACATTCTCGTTTTCGCGATTCGGAAATGTTGCCCTCGAGCCTTGTAGTCTTCGGCTTCGCAAATAACTAAAACTGACACACAGAACTGCGATCCACGGATATCGCGGACAAGACCCCTACGAATCGAGAATTGAGAGTCTGAGACTCATGCGACCGCATGGCTAGGAGCTAGGGCTGGATATTGTTGGGGCTCGGCAGTGGCCGATTACGCAGGAATCTTTAAGCTTGGCGGGGAGAGCCGTTAGGAAGAATGGGGAAGGTCGCCATGGCCAGGGTTCCATCGCGACCCATGGCTAATTTCGGGGCTTTGGCTTGGCTGTCCGGATAAGGCGATGCCTCAAGCATCAATACGAGGTTAACAGAGCAGCTATACGATATCTACTGTCTTTGACAAGTTTGCGATAACTTCATTCGGGAGAAAAAAACAAGAGATTCAAGAGAATTAGATGTGACGGGGCACTTGTAGCCAGTTTCCTCAACGGCAAACCAGTCTAAAATTAGACCTAACTGGCAGTGATGCCAGAATACCGGCTTTTCACTATTGACAGGAGCCGGCCGGGGTCGGATCTACCCGCGGCAACGGCGCCGTCGAGCTGCCTGAATAGGGCATCGGCCCCGTGTCACGCAATGAGAATCATGGCAGTCGTTCAACAACCCCGGACGACTCGGCCGACTCATGAACAGGAGATTCCGCAATCGCAACGGGCAAGATGGCCGCATTTAAAGGTCATTCAGGATCCGACAACCCTTCCCCTTTCCTGAGAAGGTCATCATCATCGACATCTCAGTGCCAATTCGTGTGATCGACCAAGATGAAGGCATCATCAATCCTCGCCATCCTCGGCGCCGTCGTGCCTGCCCTCGCGGCGCCCAAGGGCATCGGCCGCCGTGCCGACACGGACCTTATGTCCGGCAAGTACATCATCCAGCTCAAGCCCGGTACCACCCCCGAAGCCGTCACCGCGCATCACAAGGCGGTGCGCAGCCTCCTCCGCCGCCGTGATGGATCTGCAGGCACGGTGGAGAAGACGTTCCAGATTGGCGACTTCAACGCCTACAGCGGCAGCTTCGACGATGCGACCCTCGAGGAAATTGCGGCTCTCGACGAGGTCCTCTCCGTCGAGATCGACCAGCCTATCTTTGTCGACCCCACTGAGCAAGAGTCGACGCTCTCCAAGCGCGACCTGACTACTCAGGCGAGCAGCATCTGGAGCTTGGGTGACCTGTCTCACAAGGCGGCTGGCTCTACTGAGTACGTCTACGATAGCTCTGCCGGCGAGGGCACGACTGCCTACGTCTTTGACACGGGTATCCGCACGTCGCACTCTGAGTTTGAGGGCCGCGCTAGCTTCGGTATCAACGGTGTCACCGGGTCGACCGTCTCCCCCGGGTCCAACTCTGACACCGACGGCCACGGCACTCACGTTGCGGCGACCATCGTCGGCAAGACATATGGCGTCGCCAAGAAGGCCAAGGTCATTGATATCAAGGTGTTCGACGGCTCTACGGTAAGTCCAGCATCTCCTATCCACAATTCTTTTTGCTAATGATTCCCCAGGGCTCCACCTCAGCCATCCTCACCGGTCTCAACTGGGCTGTCAACGACATCACGACTAAGGGCGCGCAGGGCAAGTCCGTCCTCAACATGTCTTTGAGCGCCAAGAACGTTTCGGCCCTTGACAACGCCGTTCTCGCTGCCTACAACCAGGGTATTCTCACCGTCGTCGCGGCCGGCAACGACAACCAGCCCGCCACCGACACTTCCCCCGCCAGACTTCCCGAGTCTTTCACTGTCGGCATGACGCGCCCTGACCGCGGCCGTGTCAACATCATTGAGGGCATCTACGGCAGCTCATACGGCCCCGAGCTGGACGTTTTCGCGCCCGGTCAGGATATCGTTTCTGCTAGCTACAGCTCTGACACAGGTACGGCGACAAAGACTGGCACCAGTATGGCGGCGCCGCTTGTCGCTGGTCTCGTGTGCTACCTCAGAGCCTTGGAGGGCGGTCTTGTAACGCCCAAGGAGGTTACTGACAGGATCTTGGAACTTGCTATCCCCGATGTCGTCGGTGACCCGAAGGGATCGCCTAATCTGTTGGTCAACAACGGCAGTGGGCAGTAAATGGGGCTGCGAAGAAGCTCTCGGTGTGGACTGATCAGCTTTATGTTAGTTGAGATACTTCCTGTAAATCACTCGGATTCTTCATGGAACTTTTCTCGTATGTCGAGCGTTCTTGACAGCCTCCTTTCAAAGACTTGTAGAGTGATGAAATCAGCGCGCGAATAATGCTCTGGCTATGCTTCAGCTTCAAGCTGGCCATTCCGGACGTCGTCTAACGAGTTGTGACGTGATGACGTGTTCCCCCCTCATGTCAGAAAGATAATATGGCTTCCATCTATCACCAGATGAATGGTACATGAATCGGATGACGAGAAAAGCGTGCATGTTCAGGCTGTTTTGTAACCCATCACAACAGAAAAGGATCAAAGACAGATGTTGATCCAAGAGGCATTCGGAAACGAAAATCGAAATTGCCTCTTTTGCCTCTTGTCCAAAGTCCTACCCATCAACTTGTTTAGATTTATGAGTATCTAGCTAAGATAATCAATAACACAATATTTTTCAGCTGGAGGTCTAAATTATGGGCACCACCTGGTCCCATACCCCTGAGTGAAGCATCTTTTCACTATCAGGAGCCGTTTGGAACAAAACGGCCAGCATTAGGTACCGGTATATAATCACATCGTCGGTGTCATTGTGCGGACTCTCAAGCTCCGTCAGTCGTTCCCATTCTGGGCAGTTGTCTTCCGGAGACGAATTACGAGCTACCACAATGGCCAATCTTTCCAACAGGCAATAAACGTTCACGACACAATTCTTAAGACTCAAGTCTTGGAAGCTGAAGTAGCGTAAAAGGTCTCGCCGATGCTTCTTTATCTTATCTCGAACTTGTTGGAAAGACTCCTGATGCTCTTGCGGCACATTAGTGCCTAGCCAGCCGATGTCATTGTCTTCGGAGAATTTTCTAACTTCATTGATGTGGTGTGAAGTGCTTTCGTCGAGACCGAAACTTTTGAGTAGAGTGCGAAGAGAATGTAGCGCATTTGAATGACAGGAACGAAGATAATCTCGATTCATGTCTGGTAGTGAGCCGTAGTCCACGAAGTGTGAATTATCTGGGGCTGTGTAACGTTCCGGGGCATGGTCTTCATCCACTGCCTTGTGCGCCTTCAAAAGAATGACAGTGATTTTGGAGAGTAAGATTGAGCGAGATTGGATATGCTCCCGCCCTTTCTTTTCGAGCCAGCCCTGAACCTTTACCAGCTGTCTGTGAGTTCTGTCTCGAATTTCTTTCTGGTTGCCGGCTGAAGAAGTAACAAACCAATTCAGGAACGCGGAAGGGTTCCGAAGAAAATTGATGCAAACTTGAAGCACCAGCTCGTCGCCCTGAATAGCCTCCGAAATCGGCTCCTGTTCGTTCATCCTTCTTGGGATCGTGTCGTCTATAGCTTTCTTGGCGACTTTCTTGTCATCGGCCTCTACATCTTGATTTTTAGAAACCTCAAGCTGTTGGCTTATGGCATCGACATTTCTCGTTCGTTGTCGTGGTATTGGCGCCCATATTCGATCAGATTCCCTCAGCATGTAGCTGAACCATAAGGAAACATAAGCTAATGGATCCTCAAGTTTAAAGACATCGTGCATTTCCAGCGGTATGAAAGTCTTCCAATATTTACGAAACCCAGACCATTGTGGTTGTTCATAACCAATCGGCCTTTCAGAGGGCATTGTATTGTCAAAAGCTTTCAGATACAGTGCTGACCAATATTTTCCATTAAGTCCCACCGGTGTGAGAGGCAACTTAGTTTCCAGGATTGAAACCGGGAAGAGCGCAGGAGCATAAATTGGTGTAGCAGCGAGAAAAAAGATAATGACCGGGCAGTAAACGTCCACGTCGTCGATACCGTTAAGACTGGGAAGGGAATGATTCCCGTTGTGATTTCGGTCTCCCAATCTTTCAATAAGCCGAAAGCGGTGAGATTCTTTGAATAGGTTTAGTGAAGTTTGTGGCATCTCCTTGAACGAGGGCATCACACCATCTTCAAGACAAATCTCGCCGCGACAGTGTTTCATGGCCATGGCTAGCTTTCCTGGCGGCGGGGAATCCTCTAAATTCATGTTTCTCGAGCTGGAATTTTTATCCGCATATGGTTTCCCATCGCGGTCTCTCTGGGTAAATTGTGCGTATGCACCGATAGTACCAAGGGTAGGGTGCTGCCGGAAGTCGAACTGGAATTGCCGCCCAAGAATTACCGGGTAAAGAGACTTGTCGTCAGTCATCTTGACCTGAGCACCTGTTGCTGCTGCAGCTGCAATGATAGCTCCAACCTGTCCATACGCAGGAGCAGCAATAAGATCGTCTGGGAGATAGTCCGCGGTAACTAACTGCAGGTGGCTTTTGTATCTTGGGTTATCAAGATATCCGAGGCCAACCTTCTCAAAAAACCTAACCCAGGTGGCAGCAGGATTAGCCTCGTACTTTGGCTGGGAGTTTTGAACCCATTGCTTCCAGGTCAAAGGCTTCTGAGTCCAGGAATGAGGAAGCCAGGAGAAACAACTCTTCAGAGCTTTGCCGAGGTGTCTTGCAATTCGAACGGCAACGGTGGTAAGCCGTGTTAAGTGACTGGGTCTTTGTGCCGTCTCCTCATTATCGGTATCATCCTTCAAATCAGACCGCATATTCCAAGTCTCTTCACGTAGAATGGGCACCCATGCCCTAGATTCGAAGGACATATCTTGCCAATTCCAGTGCCACTCGGTCGCTTGGTGCCATTTCCCGATGGCACGTTTGTTTGTCTTCCTCCGTCCTTTTCCAGCTACCAAAATCCCCTGAAAGACTGTAGTAACGGCAAAAATAGTTGCGAGGATTCCGACTGGAAGGGTGAAGAAGAACGTGATGGGATCCCAATTGGTTTCGTTGTCTTCAGCCTTCTTTTGCTCGTTGAGAAGATGCATCAAAGATCGAAGAAGGCAGTCTGTTGAGTTGCTGTCCTCGGGACAGTTCGAGCCGTCGACGGCCATACTGAACGTCTGATAATCAAAGCTTTATGGTGTGAAGAAGATGATTGTGAATGGAGTGGGAACTTTCGCCTGGGGAGGTGTCCTGGATGAATCCGATTTTGAGCCTTGCTGCCAAGGACTTTATGTGAAAAAGGCAACTACTGCTGCGGCCTGTCGGTGGAAGGTGTTTAGGGACCAGAAAACCCAGGTAGTGTTGCTATTTCCATTGCTTCCATCCCTCCTCCTCGCCTTTTGGGGAGCATTTCGTAGATCACTGCGCACTTTTATGCATGCGCTTTGCAGTAATGCCCACACACAAGATGCGGACATGCTCTTCGTGAGGGTTTACTACGATTTGATAGGTGGCGAGCGAGTCAGCCTTTTCAGGCGTTGCAACCAACACGCATGCAAGCGCCTAACTTGCAGCTTCTGATGACCAACCCCGTGCCCCCAGGACAGCCGGCTGCGCTAAGAGGTTTCTCCAAGAGTGCAATCATCAGTAGAATTGGCCAATTCTGCATTCAGGAAGGTTCAGTACTGGGGTGCATGCCTCTTCTCATGGCGCCCAAAGATAAGACTAAGCCCAAAGTGCTGACGATAGCTTCAAAGATTATGGGCGCGACTAGTTTTACTGAGACTGTGCAAATCGAGTTTCAAATGGGAGTATTTCTCAAAAACGGGGGACTAGCTAACAATCCATAATCATGATAAAGAAGGTGCAGCTTCGACATGTCAAAGAGTTGCGAAATATACAGCTGACATATGAGGTAGGTATGCCAGTATGCGCTCTCCTTGTTCTGAGGCTTCGCGATGGCACCCAAATGTGAGGCATAGCAGCGATCAGCGTGAAGAACTTTGGTCTTGTGAATGTTTTCCAAAGCGTTTAAGCTGATTGAAGTCCTATCTAAAGTTGGGCGTCTTCGAACCGTGGTGGAATTCTATCCCAGAGTGTCAACTCTCGAATCAGAAGGTTCGTCTAGCGCCAGATCTTGAAAGAACGGGAGAGCCAGCATCTGAACATAGCGCAGAAATTCTGCTCGGGGAGACGATATGATCTTGGCCTCATATACCAATCAAAGCTCTATAGGTGAGTATGCCTTGGCCAACATCCGCAGTCGCAACTAGGTGGAAGACTCTTTCATGTCTGAATGGGATGAACGTGGTACGCGAGTAGCGGTAGATTCAACCGTGCCACGGAGCCCATAGTGCCAAGGGTACTGAGACACCGCAAGTCGGGATTAACACCGTCAATTTGCTCTGTAACGCTTCCGGCCAGAAGAGAGCAGTGATCCCATTCGTTCGGAGCGTGGTCGTGCCAAGGTCGAGTCAGTTTCTTGGAGCACCGCTCCGCCTTGCTGACGCGGGCTCAGATCGCGGTACACAGTCTTCTTCATTAACGCAATTAAGTCGGGCCACCTCTCATGACGACTCTGGCTGACGTTTACGGATGTTACCAAACATTAGGTAGTGCCCGCTCGTACCCATCGAGTCAATACTCCGGATCTTGCCAATCTATATAGAGGTAGCCTGCCGCTGACACCTAGTCTACTGACACTGATATTGCTCTCGTGCGTTTGACTGATGCCAAATTGCAAGAACACATCATACACCATCGAGAAATATGGCTCTCCGAACTCTCTTTCGTGGTGCGATACACGTCGTCCGATTCTTTCAGATGGCAACCCTCTCATTTACCAAGTATACAATATGTTACGCAGCATGGCTACGAAGTCAGGCGTACCGCAACGCTATAAAGTATTATGATGTGTCGAATCAGACATTCCCTGACATGAAGGAAGCCGCTATGATCATAGCAGTCAGTAACTGTCTCCCCAGTGGTAGACTCCACAAGTAATGGACGACCCTAACATCGACTTCGGCAGTGTGCTGCCCTTAGTATCGAGATTTTTATCAACTCAGACGTTAACAAACCATCGGATCCGCGTTTATCGATAATGAGCCTCGCTACTTACTCAATGGGTCTCTGCTTTTACGCCACCATGCCGGCGGCTCGACAATACTTGGCCCATAATGGTGTGTTGACGGACCTTGGTAACTATGTCGACTTTTCAAAACTCGACACTGCACTATGGCGGACCTCATTGGCTTATGGAATGGTTACGTGGTACGTGTCTCTGTTTCTGGGGGACATGGGAGCCAAAATTTCTGACCATTGCTGTTCAGGGCCTCAAGCGTGGTGTTCGTACTGTCCACAGTTGTGGATCAAGCAGAAAGAACCAATTTACAGAAATCTGGCATAAATGGTGTGGGACTGCATGCAATGGATCAAAAGTTTCTTTCGCATGATCTCAAGTTGGACACTGGATTTCCTGTATGAGCAAGATATGATTCCCCTGGGATTTAGGACACATCGATGTCATCCCTTGCTTCTCTCGAGTGCTATCCGCATCAGCATGCTTGATTAGATCCAAGATACCCACGCAGTGCTATCGAATAAGCCCAGAAACTTTGTTCGATCGTCACACCACCTTGTTTTATTTTCTCTTGATAAGGGGCCTGGGCTCTTTGGAAGAGTTCAACCAGACGTTGATGTCTATTCAGCTTCAAAAAAGATTTGGACCCATGGCAAAACTGTCTCGTTTTCGCGGCAAAGACACGCGACAGATCTTTGCTCATCCGAAGTGACAGCCAACCTGATTTTGTAGGAGCATATCTGAACTAAACATTGCGCAAACAGTACGTTCCAGGAAGTGTTACAGATGTTCTGCTTGACTCGACTCCTCCGGCCTAGGTAGGTAGAAGAACTTTCGATGCTGTCTCGACCTTCACTGGCATTACTTAATCACTTTGACACAATAGCTTTGGTACTTGTGCTTTTCATCATCATCGCGAGGTCCTTCCTAGCAAAGACTTAATCGTCTCTTGCTAAGCTCCTGACGAGACTACATGTATCGATACTACCATGTAGTTGATAAGTACTCAGGTTGTACTCAAAATGGAAGTTTCGAATTAGAGCACCTGCGAGTTGCTCTAGGAATGAACTATGGCGAGGCAAGGAAGATAGATACTTTTTCACAATGACTGAAACGGGGGTACAGTAATTGCGGTCACATGCTTCTAGAAATCTGGACGAATCTAAACATATAAATAACACAATATGCATAATATGTCTAAGGACTACTATTAGCTACATCTTGACAGTGACTCAAGGCGTGAAGTGTCTGATGAGAATCTAAAATCATGATTCTACGGTTGCGATAAGTCAAACCCCCCACTTCCCGGCACCCCCCTGTTTCTGGCACCCACAAAAACGCGAAAATCCACCACAACGCAATGCCCACCCCCAACCTCCTTTTATCACAACATTTTCAATTCGAGTCCAAATGGGCTCATTTTTTGCACATACCTTCTTCTATATCTAATGCCTCAATATACCGAAGATCAGCTTCGTCAGGCTCTCGAGGACATCTCAAACGGCAAGAGTCAAAAGAGAGCCTCATTGGAGTATGGGATACCACGATCAACCCTCCAACTACGTCTCCAAGGTGGTCAGACTAGGAAAGTGGCTTTTGCTGACTGGCAGAGGCTGTCTCCTGACCAGGAGAGTAAGCTGGCACAATGGGTTCGCATTCAGGCTTCGCTGGGCCTCGCACCAACGCACCAACAGGTGAAGGAATTCGCAGAGCGAGTTCTGGCTGCTGCTGGGGATACCAAACCATTAGGAAAAGGCTGGATCTATGCCTTCGTGAGAAGGAACCCTATCATTAAGGTTCAGAGAAGTCGTTCCATCGATTCTAGACGCGTTAATGGGGCATCTACTGAGGTCATTAGGAACTGGTTTAAGTTCCTTGCTATCCCTGAGATCAAGGACATCAAACCAGCCAACAGATATAATATGGATGAGACTGGCATCCTCGAGGGTCAGGGAGCTAATGGGTTAGTGCTGGGCATGGCTGAGACGACGTCTGTTCGCAAGAAACAACCTGGGTCGAGGGCATGGGTCTCTATCATTGAGTGTATCTCAGCCTTGGGTAGGGCACTTCGTCCTCTTATCATTTTCAAGGGAAGACGGTCCAACAACAGTGGTTTCCATTACATCTGGTTCCATACGATGGGTGGGAGTTTACAGCAACAGATAATGGCTGGACTACAGACTTAACTGCCATTGAATGGTTAGAGAAGGTGTTTATCCCACAGACTATGCCCGAGGCTGAGGGCGAGGCTCGACTGTTGATTGTGGATGGGCATGGGAGTCATACGACGACAGACTTCATGTGGAATTGCTATATTAACAATATCCATTTACTGTTCTTACCACCACACTCCTCTCATGTCCTCCAGCCACTTGACCAGTCTGTCTTCAGCCCTGTTAAGTCAGCCTATCGGAAGGAGCTCGGTTACTTGTCTCAATGGAACGACTCTACCATTATAGGTAAAAGGAACTTCCTGGACTGTTACCAGAAGGCTCGACTTGCTGGTCTATCAGTCTCGAACATCAGAAGTGGTTGGAAGTGGACTGGTCTACACCCTGTAGCGATGGTTAAGCCCTGATGAACCCTATGGTATTACCTGAGCCTTCTGCTAAGCCCACCACACCCAAACCAACCAGTCGGGGCAAAAAGCGATGCCATAATGGTCAACAAACTACCCCTGTTGAGCCATGGCTTCCTCTGCAGTGGTCTGGTCGACACCCAGGAAGCTGGCAGAGCTCAGCGGTCAACTGCACTTATACACCCAACTCGACAATGATACCAGCACTCAACGGCTGCTGTTCAGGAAGGTGAAAAAGGCTTCACAGAGCAGGCCTGGCAACTGGCAGCTGCCCAGCAGCAGCTGGCTCACCTGAGGGCCTGTTACCAACGCTGCAGTTAGGAAGAGGAAGACTGTTCAGATCGATCCCAACACGAAGTTTGCGAACATCAGGGATATCCATCGGGCTCAAATCGAAGCGGGTGAAAAGGAGGTTATTACGGCTGAATCCAGCGACTCTGAATGCCCTAGTGAGGCTGGCAGTTGTATTGTAGTGGGTGTGGTTGAGGATCAATAGTTAATAGTAATGAGGAGGTTGGGTTGTGATCCCATCGTTTTTGTGGGTGCCAGAAACAGGGGGGTGCCAGGAAGTGGGGGGTTTGACTTACTGCGTACTTGTACATGCAGGACCAGGTCAGGTACCTAAGTAGGTAAGTGAGCGGCAGGAACACTGAACGGATGGGCCGCCGTGCCACCGCCTTGCGGCCGAATCGCAGCAAAAAGGGCTGGGCTAAGTTTGGGGGGCCGGGGAAGCGGTAGCGTGGCACGCGGTTGTTAGAAAAAGCGGCACATGTACAAGCAGCTCAGAGCATCAGCACAATAAAACCAGGCTGATAATAGTGCATAAAATAATTCGAAAAAAAATACTCAGTATATAAGTAGTTACTATAGAGTTATCAATTATTATAATAGAGTGTGGGATTCTAAGTTGAAGTCGAAGAGAGTTTATGAATTTGGCTGGAAAAGTAGATAGTTACCTACAGTGAGTGTGCCATTTATTCTCACAACCGCGTGCGTGGGTATCCGTAGTGTGGTGTATGTTGCATCTGCATGCATGCCGAAGCAAAAGGACCCTGGTCCAATCACACCATCGGGTTTGTTGTTCTCTTTGATATCTGGCTTGCTGGGGCGGCCGATTCCCGCACATACGCCGAGCCAATATCGCCAACCAACCAGGCGTGCCAGGCTAAGGAGGTAAGGTAGCGGGGCTTTCTTGGTGGATGTCATGTCATCCGCGCGAGTGTATCCGTACCTTAGCGTACCTTGGAGAGGGGACTGGGACTTATCATAGTACCTCATGGAGAAGCGGAAACCAAGAGGAGAAGGAGGAGATGGATGAGGGGGTTCGTTGGGCATGGGTAGGATCATAAAAAAAATCAGCTTGGGTAAGCAATCCCATTTCCAATGGGATTTAAAGGGTAGGTTGATGGCCGCGGCCAGCTTCTTTCTAGGTACTTATGTTCCCACCCCGCCCTTCCTTTCTCCCTCCCTCCCTCTCTCTCTCTCTCTCTCTCTCTCTCTCTCTCTTTTCGGCCTCAGTTTTTTTTTTTCTTCTTTTGATCCCACTCGCTCTAGACTAACTTGTCAAGCCACGAGAACGAAATTCGAACCAAGCGTAGAAGGTGACTGAGCGCAGTGATTCCGCACTCTCGGATCCGCCAAGAGGTGAAGGCAGAGTCAATTGTGCAGAGATGGCCGATAGCGTCGATACGCGAGAGGCCAGCGCGCCGGCGGAACAAACCCCTCACGTTGCTGCGCCTGCTCAGCCGCATGCCGTGCCTTCTCATTATCCTCCTGAAGAAGTCGAAGCCGTACGTCCCTAATCTCGTTGTCTTCATTCTTTTAAGCCTATTGTACTCTTACCAAGTCCCAATATTCTTCTCTAACGGCTAGCTACATGGACTCCTTTTATATATATATATATATATATATACCATGTTTTGAGGCTTACAATGAAAAAAAATAGGAACCTCATGATCCTCGCTACGATGATGACACTTGGAGTGAAGAAGTTCGTTGACACGACCTCTCCGTCTGGTTTTGAAAAGCTTGAGACTAACTTTGTTTTTCTCTTTTTCTCCGTCATAGTCCAGGGCAAGCTCCCTGAGCTCACTGCGCTCGAGCATTCGCCAGTATCGGAAAGAGAATGGGCGGAGGTACCACGCTCTCAGCGATGGAAGTAAGTTTGTATACATGTATATTCCGGAATCGATAGACGGTTCTGAGTCCGATGGCCCCGTAATCTCATTTGGGTCGGTATTTGTTGAACTGACTTGGCTTGGGTTTATAGCTTATATCCTGCCCAACGATGAGGTTTGTCCAAACCCCTCCCTCTCCGTCTCCTCTCTTCTCTGCTGCGAGGAATCATCGTTTACGGGAAATTTCCGCCTACCTAACATTCAGCTGACAATCCGGCCCTACAGCAAGAACAAGATCGCCTAGGCAAGTCCAGGGTCACTCAAACAAAAAGGGCGACTGACGCAGGTAACTAACAAATAAGCGCCAACAAACAGACCTCACACATCACCTTTGGCGCTTGACGTTTGACGGCAAGCTATGCATGTGCCCAAAGGTCATGGGCGCCAATTCGGTCCTGGATATCGGAACCGGGACTGGCATTTGGGCGATAGACTACGGTACGGAAAGCCTTGCATCGTTATGTTGGATGTACTGACGTCTTCTTGCAGCCGAATCGCATCCCTCAGCAACCGTATGAGCTCCTCCCCTTCTCATTAATCGATATTCTCTATTAGCGTTGAGTACACATTGTGTGAACAATACCGGAGCTGACTTTTTTTCTTCTTTTCCTTGACGCAGGTTATTGGCGTCGATTTGAGTCCTATTCAACCTGGTTTGTACGTCTTTGTCTTCTGGGCCCCTTCCCCCCCCCCCCCCTTTCCACGCGAGTTTTGGCTGATGAGAGGCGTGGCGGATTTCCAGCGTTCCCCCAAATTGCAGTTTCGAAGTCGATGATATCGAAAAGGACTGGACATGGTCCACGAAATTCGACTTCATTCACATCCGGCACATGAACTCGGCTATCGCGAACTGGGAGAGGCTTCTCAGACAAGCCTATGAGTGAGCTGTTCCCCCCCTCCCTCCCCTCCTATTCTACTCACATACACACGTACGCACACACGCATCAACTCAAGCTACCTACCCACTCAACCACACATTCACGTATACGTCCCAGTCCCTTTGGCAGCACGCGAGAAAAAGGCTAACTCCCGGGTTCTCTTTCCCCGCCCTCCCAGCAACCTCGAACCAGGAGGCTACGTCGAATTGACGGACAACTGCTTCCCCCTCCAATGCCAAGACGGCACAATGGACCCCAAGTCCCCCGTGGCCGAGTGGTCGACCCTCCTCATGGAGGCCTGCGACCGCATGGGCCGTCCCGTCACCGTCCCCGCGCTCTTCAAGAACCTGCTCCTCCGCGCCGGCTTCGTCGACGTGGTCGAGGTCCACCGCATCTGGCCGCTGCACGACTGGCCCAAGAACGACCAACTCAAGGAGATTGGGCGCTACTCGCAGGAGAGCAGTCTGCAGGGGTGCGAGGCGTCGGCGCTGGCGCTCTTCACGCGCGTGCTGGGGTGGACGCGCGACGAGACGTTGGTGTTTTGCAGCGGGGTGAGGAAGGATTTGCATAATCGGAATATTCACGCGTACTGGGATATGTGAGTTTTCTCTCTCTCTCTCTCTCTCTCTCTCTCTCTCTCTCTCTCTCTCTCTCTGAAGATGACTGTTTTCCCCTCGCTTTGGAAATAAGGAAGTTTCTTTCACTGACTTTTCAACCTAGATACTGCGCTTTTGGTAGGAAGCCTTTTGATGAGCCGTCGTCTGAGTCGGAACCGGAATCGGAGCATTGATGTGAGCTCAGGCGAGTGATACGTATCTGTTAGTGACTCGATGAGGGACGGTTCCTCATTCAGAGACAACGTCAGAACATGCTGAATCGGACTGCCCCTTTCCTCGGAAGAGGGCGTGCTAAAGAGAGGATTCCCGGCTGGGACAACTCTCTGCTACACCTAAGCGGCACGGACGTACGAAAACAATGACATAAAGGGCGACCATCGCAGTCTCATGGCTGATATCGAGGATGTACATACATACATGAAAGTCAATGAGATCAGCATAACTACCGTTTCGAGACTATGGAGACTCTGAGCCCTTGTGGATTGTCTTCTTTCTCGCTATTTATAATTCTTGAATTCTTCGCTTATTCACCACCGCCCTAGAATCCTGTGTCATCAACTGAAGAATATCTCCAACCTTTCGATGTTGTTTTCCAAGTTGCATCATCAGAGTGTAATGGATTTCTTGATGAAGGTATAGATGTCAACGCGGAATACATCTAACATGCCCCTTTGTTCATTTCCGATTACCTCTGGTATCCATCTTTCGGGATCCCAGAGTAATTAGTCCGCAGTTTCCCTAGTCTGTAGAGACTTCCTGAGCTCTTCCCTGGATAGTCATCAGCCGTATTGCATGACTCAATAGCCAGGCTGATTGTGCTGGCCCATGTTGGAGGGTCTGCACATTTGACGCGACTGAAAGGCGTCCCTGGTTATTCAATGTATATAGACTCTCGGGCAAAGGATGATCGTACTCGAGTCAATTTGAACACCCGGAGTTCCCATTGACGATTGACCGGAGTTGATGTGGTGTTCATCGACAAGTTTATCAGCTTCGAGGCGTGCTGGTATATTTTGTCTAAGATAACCAAATGAATTGCGTCCAGTGCACCGCCTATTATTATTGGCTACTGTTCTCGTATTGCCGGATTTATTCAGTTGGTTCAATGTTGCCTCTGATATCTAGTCCAGTCTCCCTCATGAGTACTGGTAATTCATAAACGTCTCGTAGTACGCCAACATCTTGTTGCCCAAATATTAACTTGATAGCTTGCCTGATCATTGTCCATGTATGATATTTTTCTTGTAAGAACAGGCTGAATAACCATTTTCAGTTGATCGTATACTAGTCAGAATATGTACCTGAGTACGTTGCTCATCCCATTGTGCCGCTCTAGATTCCGAATCCGATCGAACTTCAGGTAACGCAACGCCCAAGCGAGTCAATTTCTTTTAAGAAGGTACTTCGTCAGACTCACAGATAAGCCTTTGCATGCTGAATAAATCCGCCGCTTGAACAAGAAACGAAGTTTCCAACGAGAAGAAATGCTAACTGCATTGAAAATAGAAAACCTCGACTCCTTAGCAAAACGAAAGACTTCTACCCAACCCATCAGGAATAAAACAGTAACCCGACCACCATAATTCGCCACCACACGTTGTCACCCGCTCTCCATCCCAGCACCAACAGGCTCAGCAGGGCATCTCGTGCCTCGGCTCGCACGCCTCCACCTCGAACCGCTCGCGGCTGTGCGCCGGCAGCTCCAGCTTCCACGCGGCGGCCTCGTCTTTGGCCCGCAGCTGCCGCTCGGCGTAGACGAGGATGTCGCCCTCCGTGTGGACGGCCATGTCCCGCCTCCTCTTGACGTACCTGCGGACCAGCCCCGCGAGGAGGGCGAGGAGGAGGAGGGCGCCGAGCGTCGCGCCGACGGCGATGCCTGCGACTGCGGTGCTCGAGAGTTGGTCTTCGTCGGTGGGGGTGGTTGGTGATTGCGCCGGGGAGGATTCTGGGGTTGATGTTGATGTTGATGTTGCGAGGGCGAGGGCTGTTGTGGTGGCTGTCGCGGATTGTGTTACTGATGTGCTGTCGGGTTCGGTGATGTTGAAGTAGTGAGATGTCGCGCTGCTGCCCGACTGTCCCGTCTTGAAGAGTTGAAGGAAGTAGACCTGGCTCAGGTCTGGATTCATTGTTGAAGGAAAACCTGCGTAGCCTACGGTCCAGACCAGGCTTTTTACTGTGGAATTGGCTTTGCAATGGTGTTAGACGCGGCTCTAAGCTATACGTTGTAGCAGAGACTTACATGCGAGCTTGGCATAGGGTCCCTTGATATTCCCCGTTGGCTGCTGCTGCCACAAGATCAGGTCGATGTTCTTGAGGTCCATCTCCCACTGTAAGTCAATGTTGTCGCCGAGTGTGTAGACTGGGTTATCCCGGAAGTCTCCTGCCGGACCCGGGCCCGGCGGGCGGCGGAAGCGGTTCTCTGAGCGCGCGCATGCCGGGAATACGACACCAAAGAGGAGCACTGCGAGGATGTGCATCGCGAATGCCGGTGACGATTTCTTGGTGATGTTCTTGTCGTCTATATCTGAGTGGATGGGCAGATGGACATTGGGCAATCGAGGAGGGTGGAAGCCACTCCGCCGTGGGACACATTGTGTTTTTGCTCGATTCTTTTTCTTCCATTGCAAACCCGTTGCCCTGTCCCCCACCTCGAAGTCGACTGTGCGCGATGGAGGGGTGAGGTTCTCATTTTAAACGTCCTAGCGACGGATCTAGTCAGCGTTGACCTAAACAGTAGTGTCGTTTCGGAGAGTCGAAACGTTGAAGCCTAGACGCCACTGAATCCGCCAGCTATTTGTGCACTGCCAAGACGGGCCATTTTCGTTAGTAATTCAGAGAGATGCTTCAGAAGACGGTATAGGTACGAGTAGAGTTCTATGTGGCTCAACGTTGGTTTCGAGACGTGCTGGAGAGGTTCGTGGTGTTGTGATGCATCGATGGACTCAACAGGGTCAATCTTCATGGGCCCAGCCGTTTCGCGTCTGAAAACTAGCTGACTGAATAGCTACGATGATGATTGACAGAATTAAATGATCCAATCGGCAAAAATGCAAAAGATTACTCCTCGACGGGGAATTGAACCCCGGTCCCCTGCGAATCGTTGAATCCTCAATGACAAGCAGATATCCTCACCACTAGACTATCGGGGATTAGTGGATGTTGGCATCCAGTGATAGTTGGTTGGAGGGAAGGGTGCCTGACAGCCCTATATACCCACTCCAAAAGATGTGCCCCAACACTAGGTCCCATCGCGCCCACATGGATCTCCGGATGGCATGCAAGTTGCAAATAATTCCCAAATCTGTAGTTCCAATAAGTTGATTGATTAGATTTTCATTATCATAGGCGAGCAGCCCTTTGTTTTGGTGCGAATTGCACTATCCCAACATTAATACACCGGCGAAAAGCCCACCCATTCATTCTATGAGCGTCCCACTCAGTCGCCTCTCCGAAAGCGACATCTCTCTTTCTCATGCGTATCTCGATACCACTTTGTCGTCAAGACCCTGGTACAGCTTTCGTTCCTACACGGATACCTCTGTCTCTTCTCGCGATTGAACGAGCACCCCTCGCGAAGGTGCTTGTTGCGGTTGCTTACGCTCGAGAACGTCTTGGTGCATTGCGGTGTGAGGCACTGCAGTCTATCGCTTCGGTTTCGGTGATCGCGCGGCGTCGAGCGAGACGTCGTCGAACCAGCTGCACTACCGACGCTGCTATTGAAGGTGTGAGTACGAGTCAACAAACATTGGGACCAGGTGAACAGTGACTTACCTTATACTCGATGACGATACGTTTCGGCGGAGTTCAAGTGTGCTGAGCGAAGAGAAGCTGCTCGACGGCGTGATGTATGCGTCTGAGCTATGGGCTGGCGATTGTACTGTGAATGGTGGGACAGAAAGCTGGCCAGCAGCTTGACTGGATTGAACCGAGATGCCATGCATCCTGAGGTACTCTGCTAGCAGGGCACAGCAACGAAGATATCCCGGAGGCGTAGCAGTGAAGGTCTCGGTGAACGCGTTGGCCAATCCAGAATGCAAGCCTGGAGTACCTCACGTTAGCGTGCGAGTCTTGAGCAAGTCCGACGCTACACTTGCCTAGGATCAGTGCAAGCACGATGGAGAAAGCCACCGAGAAGAGGAGCAGCATCGTGGCCGACGAGAGAGCGTCTTCCCAGCCTCCATCGAATGATGACGAAGGAGCCGGCTGTCTCGAAGTAGCTTCCTCAAAGCGTTCCATATGTAGAAAGTCCGCCCACACCAGATCATCGCGTTGGGTCGATGAGCCGGCATAGGAGGCCTGCCCCGACTGTGATCGGCCCGGTATCGTCTGGGCCTGAATACTACTGACTCCTACATGCGTTTCTTGTTCATTGAATGCTCTTTGTATAGCTGCAAGCCTAATGCCAGGTGAGGAAATCTTTGACGGTACGGTCTCCTTGCGCTTCTCGAGTGAGATGAGATTTTGAGCCAAGTCTTGGAAATGCGGCAGGTGTTCTGGGTCAAGTTGGGATGGTCTTCGACTTGACGGCGTGTATGCCTACATGCGGAATGCGAGCTCATCGAAAAAGAGCTGAGACGATGCTGGTAGAACGGAGCGCCACCGGTCGAGGTCATCAACAAATCTACATCAATGTTAGCTTTGGCTGCCTAGACGTAGGACTTTATAATAGAGCGCGCCCTTAGGCAGGGAATTGCGAGCAATGGCTTACTGTAGAGATAGGGAATCGTCACTTGAAAGCAACGTTAAATACGTGGCATTTGCCACCAGCAGTGCGTCGAAAATCTCCTCGAGCGACGATGGTGGACTATCCTGCATCAGACCACGGAATACACCAAGACCACGATCCCATACTGTATTAGAATGGACGTAGTCCCCAGCTAAATCGCGAAGCTCTTCATGATCCGAGCAGTCACAAGCCCCATAGAACTGAGAGCACAGGGTCTGCATGGAAGAGACCAGGCTCTGCCCCAAGAGTCGCCGGCGGTGGCGAGAGCATCTCCGTCGGACTCGTTCTTTGGGGGCATCGGCCACTTGGTCATGGCGTCGGCTACGTGGCGTGCTGAAATAGTTAGTATTGCTGCTACTGGTCAGACTGGGAAAACTGTCCGCTTGGGTTCCAGTACAGTTCAGGCCGGACGACACTCGAGATAATGCGGCGGCGGGAGTTGCCTCCATAATGCTCAAGCCTGCAAAACAGTCGAATGTATCATCCGGAGCTGTCGACTGTGGAACATCCATGACGCCAAATGCCAGCATGATTTCCATAATCTGTGTGTTCTCATCAGAGACCGCGATGGCGATTGCCTCTCGTAGCCCCTCGGGTAGGGGTGTTCGCAGCAGTATCGCGCGAACAATTTCGGCCTGGTCCCAGTAGACCGCCGCAGAAAAGGGTGTCAAGACTACATGCTCTGTGCCGCCGACCATCTCGTCGTCAGCGTAGACACCTAAAAAGGTGATCCCTTGCTGTAAAAGGTTCTCTGCTTGCGCAATGTGGCCAAGCCGTATGGCGACGTGAAGGGGGTCGTCGGTTATGTCTCGTAGGAACGGCCCGGGCTGGCTTGTGGACTTGTCTCTTGTTCGCGACGCCAAGTCTAGAACATAGCGATAGATGTCCAGTCGACCTCTGTCGAGCAATTCAAGGAGCAAGTCGGGGTTCGTCTGCCACTCGACTTCACCAGTGCGGACAACAGGCTCGCATAGATCGTGTAAGGCAGTGAGATCACCAGCAAGGGCAAGCTCGGTAAACTTGGATGCCAAGGCTTCGAGGAACGCGTCATCCAGAACATCTGGGAGGAAACCTAGAGCGAAACAGGCGTCGAGGTCGTCCAAGCCGGCATCTATGCTTCGTTGGTGCATGTCGTGAAGCTGGCCGATAGATAGTATGCCACTCGATCGGTACACTTCAGTGCCGATTCCAGCGAATAGTGCTCTATCTAGGAGTAGGTCGCGAACGAGTAGACGGAGCTCGACTGTTGTAGGGTGCGATGGCGATACATTCTCCAGGTGGTGTAAGTAAGCCTTGAGAGTTGCGTAGTTCTTCAACAGATCGGGTAGGTCAAAAGGCGAGGGCACAGCAATAGCAAGTGACTGCAGCAGTGTCAAGCTCTGGTATTCGATCTCTATGGTTTTGGTAAGGCGGCTCTTGGAGACGGTGAAAGCTGGCTGAGAAGCTGGGGAGGAGTAGAGAGGTAGGTAGACCCCTGAGCCAGGCGAAACGGCTTGGAATACTTCCCCGCTGTCACGATGAAGTTATACCTAGAAGTCAGCCAGTCTGCACCCGGACATTCATGAAGGGCGACCCCAAGCAGGATGATAGCGACGCTATGCCTGAGAATAGGTCACAATTGCAGGATGAAATGTATGCAAGACTGTTTCAGGAATAAAAAGTAAGATTGAAAAACACTGCTACATGTGGAACATCATAAATCGAATCCTGATGAGACAAATGTATGGCGTACCTTTCAAACACTTCCGTGTAAGCGAAACACGGCGCATCATCGATAAAGTCATGGCTCATTGACGGTCCATTCAATGCGAAGCCACTATTAGGGAACGAAAGAGCCGCTGGGTGAGATTTGAGATTCTCATCGATATCGGCGAGGCGGAGATTCAGACCTAGAGATGACAGAGACGCCATCTTCACGGCCTAGGACAGCATTGGCGTCAGACAGGGGAGGCAGAGGATCAGGAGTCGGGTTGCGTAAAGGTTCTCACTCCAAATCAATGGAGGAGAAAGAATCGCATATTACAGCTTTGAGATATGAGTACTGAGGTGAGATGTAAGAGAATCCCGCCGTGAAGCTGGGCGGCTTGGTGTTGATGAAGGGATGCCTGGAAAGCGGCCCCGCGGTTGAGGCTGACATGGTGCCCCGGAGGTATGGTGGGTCCCCTGAATTTAGGAATCGGCGGCGGGTCACGCGCGGGGCGCCGTGGACGCTGTGACTGGGCACCAAACGCTGATTTGGAGTTGCCGGTATGCGTCGGTATGCGCGTCGAGAAACGTGATGCCGTGCAGATACGCTGCTTCGGGGCATCGGTTGGCACTGATTCGCCGCAGCAGTTGATTTGTGTAGACGGCATTGTCTAGTGTGCTCTGCCTTGGCTGCCTCCATCGCGACATGTTGACGATTCCGACACCGACGTTAGGAATTGGTGCGCGCTGCGGTGTGTAGCACGCAATGATGATGCATTCTAGGCAGACTTCTGCGCTATCATGCATATAAACCAGTTCACGGGACTTGTTGCTCAGCCAAAGAGGAAGCTCGAAGTTTTCAAAGGGACAATGGTGCATTCGTAAGTATCGGGATGATAAGATGATGGGAATGCAACGAGGTTCCTCCATTAGAGGATCCGCCGACCGCTGCCCTTCCACTGAGATCTCATTGCTTACATAAGGCTCACGAGAAAAGCTGACATAATCGAAGCACTTTAGACACCAGACCGCGCAGACCCGCACGGCTGATCTCGACTGCCTCTCATTGGCCAACACCGGGTTAATTGAAATGCCCCACGACGCGACTCGACGCGTCTCCCCGGCGCCAGAGCCCCCAGCAACATTTCCAACTTTCGTCTGCCCTCAACACCAAGCCCACGCAAGACTTTCCTGTATACACATGCCCACATAACGCCAACATGTTGCGACACGACTTCAACCGGATCGACCCCAAGAGGCGCAATGTCGTCGACCATCGCAAGAAGCAGTTTGCTTCCCCCGCCTACAAGGAACTCGAATACCCCCACAGACTCAACTTTTACACCGACGCGCCAACGGCCGACATTACTCTCGAGCAATTTGAACAATGGGCCATTGACCGGCTAAGGGGTGCGTCTACCAGTATTATGTCTGTCTCTCGCCGTCACTAAAAACATCCTCAATCAGTTCTTGCCGAGTTGGAGGCCTGCGCGTTCCGCAACAAATCCCCCCAAGAAGTCGCGAACCACATGAAGCCGCTCCTCGACAAGTACCTCCCGCTCGAGTCCAATACCTCGCACTCGCCGAAGCTCTTCGCCCAGCGTCAAAAAGACCACTACAGTCACTTCATCCTCCGCTTAGCCTTTGCCCGAACCGAGGACCTCCGTCGTCGCTTCACGCGCGTCGAGACGATGCTTTTCCGCTTGCGATTCAACAGCGACGACATGAGCGAACGGGCGGCCTTCGTCGGTAGCCTGGATCTCGACTGGTGGGAAGCTGTCACGGATGACGAGAAGCGCGAGTACTCATCCGAGCTGGCTGCCATGTCGCGCGGCTGGGGCAAGACGGCCTCTACAGAAGACGACACATGGTTCAAGGTCGACTGGGCCCGGGTGCCGGAACTGGTCGAGCAGCGCAAGGTGTTCCTGAAGGCAGGCAAGGCGTTTGTACCAGGGAGAGAACAGGCCAGTATGGTGAACGGAGAGTTCGTCTCGCGGTTGGAGAGACAATTAGAGGTAGGCTCATGACACGACCACGGTGTCTGGGTGATACTGACGTTGAACAGCTTACCGCACGCGCTCTTCCCCGACTCGACGAAGACGACCGTCTGACCCCGATCCTAGATCACCTCTCCAAGAACTTCATCACGCCAGATAGCTCATACAGCTCGAATACCGGCGCCCCGCCCGGCGCCGAGATCACCGCCCGCAACATCGACAACCTCTCACAACACTTCCCCGCCTGCATGTCGCACCTCCACCGCTCGCTGCGCCGAGACGCTCACCTTAAGCACTTTGGCCGCTTGCAATACTCTCTTTTCCTCAAGGGCATCGGCCTGAACCTCGAAGAGTGCCTTGTCTTCTGGAGACAGAGCTTCCGCAACATCACAGACGACACATTCAACAAGGAGTATCGTTACAACGTGCGCCACGTGTACGGCGACGTCGGCGGCGACTCAAACCGTCGCGGAGGTGGCTATAGCCCGTTCAGCTGTCAGAAGATCCTGACCGAGCACCCACCCGGCTCGGGCGAAGCCCACGGCTGCCCCTACCGCCACTTCAACTTGGAGAATCTGACCACTCTGATGCAAGGCATGGGTGTGAGCGATCGAGCCACATTGCAGGGCGTCAAGGAGGATAAGGAGAACCAAAAGTTCCATATGGCGTGTAATCGGTACGTCTCAATGCTCCGTTTTGTTGTCTACCGTTTTTGGGGACCATTGACTAACATGCCTCCAGCGTATTCGAGCACTTGCATAAGCAGGAACTTAAAAAGGCAAAGGACGAGAGCGTGTTCACGTCTGCACAACTCGAGACAATCGTCCATCCCAACGAGTACTTTAAGCGCAGCTACCTCCTCAAGAACCTCGACAAGGCGACAGATGTCAAGATGGAGGGGTGAGCGTAGCCTGAGGCCTCACAGTAACAGTATGCCTTGTGACTCGTGGCAGACTCGCTCACGGCCAGTTACGACCAGTGGTTCGAGAGTCTTCTCTCGAGGCAGGGACTTAGCTCGAGCAAGCGTATAGCTAAGCTTTTCTGCCACAAGGCTTGTGCTGATAAGCTCGCCGACGGGAACATACCTGGGGGCGGGAAGCGGCTGCCTCACTAACGAAGCGTGTGGCTTGATGAAAGAGACGGGTTCCACGGCGGTCTGGACCCTGTTGCCAGCGAAATGCTGCAGTAGAGAGTGTTGGAGGGGGAGGGCGTTGGATAACGATGGCAAATGTCTTTTCGCGAAACTACCTTATGGCGATACATCGGCGTTTATTCTACTTTAATTATTTGATGAAGGATTGGGCAGGGTCCGCGAACGCGCGGGCGGGAGGGAAACTTGATGTCATGGTTTAGGTTCGTTTCTTGCGGAAAGTGTAGTTCGAGGACAGCAGAAAAGAAGAGCCATCCGAAGTATTCCTTGTCTTGAGTGAAAGGTTTGACATCTCCCACGTGTCCCGCCGTGTCTCGTTTCAAAAAAGGAGACGGTGAAGCAGATGAAGGAAGAAAGCCCAAAGCTGGCCAATGTTTCCACCTTGATCGGAACCAGAGAGCGTCGAGACTTTTGATGAAGGAAGCTCGCCGTCTGGAACACACCCCATCGGTCTCGTTCCGGTTCTCCTTATTGGGATCAAGCTCTCCCTCTCCCGTCTCTTGGCTTTGTCTCTTGCCCTCGGCTCGCTCGGTGTCTTGACGGGAGTTTGGGGTTTCACGATCACGATCGGACTAAGACTAGACTCGCGGACCATACCGTGGTGGATGCACTGGGGTAAATAGAGCGGGAAATGACTAAAAAACGGGACCGTTTGTGTTTGGTTTCTGCCTTTCAACTCTTCATTGGGGGGGACTGACAAACAAAGAAGCTTATGAAGCTTGGTGTTGGATTGTGTCAGAGAGAGACATACAGAGACTACCTAGGTCTAGATCCTGACCGACTCCGCGGAAGTTCCCCTTCTACACTACCTGAAGCATCACTCTACCAACATGCAGCGCTGCTTGGTAGGGAGCCAGGGAGAAGGAACAAGCCCTTTTGCTGCGAGCTGCGAGTTTAATTGGAATAGCCTTCACGAAGCTGGGTAAGGGTAAAGTCTTGAGAGAGGGGGCGTGCGAGCGTGCATGCGAGCAGACGGTCTTGTCTGTTCCTGTCCGTCCGTCTGTTTGCAAGTGGACTTACCTAATGGAAGCCCCGGATGCCACGGCACTCTCGGGCATCACGAGATGCGGACTTGCTCGAGAATCCGTGGCGTCTGGTGACAGTTTTGATGGTTTCTTTAGCATGTTGCCAGGCAGGATAATCACAAATCCCGAAGCAGCTGGCGCGGGGCCGGGTGCTTTTCGTTCGTGCACGCGGCAGCGCTTGCAGGTCGAATCAGTCCGATGTGAGCATCTCTTCTCAATTCTCTTCCCAGGCTTGTCATTTGGCTCGGGAGGCTTCAGGGATGTGTTTGCGATGACTCTCTATAATCTGCGATGGCTATCTACCAGCACGAAACGTGTGATCACCCGCTTGGACTCTACTTGGTTGTCCTCTGCCTCGGATCTCCGTCTGGTCTATCCGTATGGTATCGTGCGGCCTCCCCTGCAAGTGGGCAGAAAATGGTGGGCGAGACCAGACTTCCAGAGTCCGGGCTGGAGCTGGGGCGATAGGGCTGCCCACGGCTTTTGCGGGAGGTGACATTCTGTCTGGAGACCATTTGATGAGGAGTTAGACATGACTCTCAATGACATTCCGCTGCAAGTTTGGTCCTGGACTTCCTGGTGCGACCACAGAATCCAACGCAGTAACGCAGCATTAAAACAGAGTTTCTGCTTTGCATGTGGACCGGTCCAGAACGCTTCCCCCGACCTCTGGCCCCTGGGTCTGGCCGTGGAGCGGTCTAGACCACCTCTCTTCCTGTCTCTGTCTGTCTCCCCTCAAGGCTTCAATCCTCGTCAAACACCCTGGGCTGGCGAACCGTTACACAGGAACAGGAGCTTGTCTGGACTGGGGGGATGAGCTTGGTTGCTGGCTTTCCTGCCAGGGCTGTAAACTCGCTCCTCCAGGGTCCGGAACGCGAAAGATGCGCTCGGAAACCGGTTGCTGCTGTGTATTTCGCATGTCGAGCCAAGGGGTACCCTAGGCATGGAATGAAAAGCCGGGTTTTGACGGCGAGGGGAATGAGCATGCAGGGCACGATGCTCGCTCCAACTTCTCTAGAGAGGTTCATCCGCCCCATCTGAAGGCTGAAGTCG